TGTATAGAGATGGGTCACACCGATCAAGCCTCACAAAAGCACTTTCGTTCATTAGTAAGGTAAATGCCTAGATATGAACATGTCCAAGTCAATCGATTAATTGGCTTTAAAAGTATATACATATATGATTTTTATTGAATCTCCTTTTTCTAATTTTACGTTTGTATTGAGACAATTCCACCATTTTTTTTCTTGGTGCTTGTTTGCTGCGATAGACTAGGCCAGGCGTAATTTCAGCCACCCTCATATCTGCCCTAAATCAAGAATCGTAATGTATTCTGGGCGATTGGCTAAACTACTCAACGAACCATGATGAAGTACACACAAAAATTCAAACGGTAGATAAAAAAAACAAGGGATTTTTTTTTTTACCGTGAAAGAATCCATCGAATTGAAGTTGATTTAATGTCGACACTTCCACCGTAAATAGTGCATCATTGATTCAATGTTGAGTCAATGTGGGTGTATAAACGGTGATGGTCACCGCGTTGAATCAATGTTGATTCAACATAGAAGTATAAACCTTCAACAGTGAAACATTCGATCCACACCAAATCAACGTTGAATCAATGTTATGTGCTACCTGGGTATTGGAACCTAAGTGATGACTACCGGACCAGAAATCGGCATTTTGTTTTTTATACATTTGCATTCAAATTGTACTACTTCAAAAAGCCTTTGACCTAGGAAGCTGAAATCTAGTGTGAGTAGATTTATAAATGGATCCTAAATATCAGCAATATTTCATCAAAATCGAAAGGGACCAGGCAAATTATTGTGTTGATTTAACCCTATCAGACCTGAATTAAGGCTGCTATCGGAATAATATTCTTTTTTTGTACTTTTGAGCTCTTTCGCGATTGTAATTGAAATCTTCATGTTTCATATGTACTTTTCATATTTTGTATAAATTTACCATATCATACCACATATTATATATTATAAATTTAATTAAATAACTGAAGATGACAAAATTAATGGGTGAAAGAAGGCCTCTGATGGAACTGAGCCATGCATAATTGCTCCCATTGCAGCGTAATATGGAGCGCAAAGTCACGAGAATCCTAAGAATTTGCCATCGACACAATGTAAATGCAATGTCCATTGGAATGGACGCCAAGTCTGCAAGGGTTAACATAGAATGAGTTCATTGGAGTTCATGATTCAATCATGGAACCGCTCGTGGTGAACGTAATTACGTAATGAAAATTATTATAGGACAAACGGACTGGTGGACGGATGAAACATCTGAAGCGACAACATCAGAAACCGATTGGACAATGACGGACGAAACTACAATAACGGAGCCACCTACAATGACGGAGCTACCTACAATGACGGAGGAAACTACAACGACGACGGAAGCGCCTCTGACGGAGGGGCCATCGGGAGAAGGAGGGATCGGGGATCATTGCGATTCCGACGACGACTGCAAAGAGGAGGAACATTTGGCATGCAACATGGCCTTACAAAAGTGCGACTGCGCCGATGGATTCGAATTCAATCTCGACATCCTCGAGTGTGGTCAGTTCATTCATTTCTTACGTTATTGAACCACTAGCGGAGCTCCGCGCAAATTGCGCGGAATGACTAAGTAGTGATTTCCAGATTTTACTGCAAATACTTAATATCTTAAAGGTACGTGGCCTAAAGAAAAATGTTTTCAACACCACCAACAGTAGCCATAGAATTTTGCCTCTTGGTTTTCATTGAAGAAAACGTAAATTTTTTAAAATGAATTTTAGAAATTGACTTTTAAAAAAATTGTATAGCACTTTCAATTCAAATCCTTTCGAAACACGACATTCAGTGTATAGGTGTCATCGTTGCTTCGGTATCGGCCTTATTTGGGGTGCAGGCTCTATCTTCACATTGACGCTTTACAAGCGCCGCACTCTTGA